CCCGGTCCCGGCGCCCCGGGGACAGCCCTGCCTGCGGGCTGGGGTTCAGCCGTGCCCCGGCTCGCCAAGCCGGGAGAGGAGCCGGCGATTGCCTGTCCCAGCCCCGGCTCTCGCCACCCACCCGCCACCGTGCCGGCTCAGCCCAGCATAGGCAGGACCTCCAGCCCTGAGAGCGCTTGTGCTAATTACTTTCCTTTGTTAATTAAACCCACGTGGCTCTAATAAGGTAACCTGCTGTTCTCCGATAAATTTAATTAGCCTGAAGGGAGAGCCCCTCCGCACAGCTATTTAAATTGTCACTTTCCATCGCTTAGGCTTTCCTACTTTCTGCCTCCCTCCCTCTCCGGGTTCACACCCCTCTTCTTCCTCTCCTCCTTTGGCAGAGGAGGGCAGCAGGGGAGGTCCCCCCTCCCCTATGGGAGCAGGATGGCACCCAAGGATGCTGCACCCACCCAAAGCCCCGTTTTCCTGCCAGTGCCACAAAACCCCACCGCAGATGGGCCTTCATCCCGTCCCAGCGGCTGTCCCACACTGGAGGACCTGCCCTGGCTCCAGCCCCAAAGGACTCTCCCTTATCCAGCACCTGCGCCCCGCCCGCAGCACCCAGCATCAATCCTGGGGTGCCCCAACCCTGGGAAACTCTGCACCACCCTATCCAAAATGCTCTCCCAAGGTATGGTGGCACACGGTGACCCTCTCCTCCCGGAGCCAGCCCTTCCCTCCCGTGCCCTTTCCCACCACAGCAGCACGCAATGGGGACCACAAACCTCCAACAATTTTCTGGAGGTTTACAGGGGATTTAACCCTTTGGGGGCTCCTGGTGTGCTCTGGTCACCCCAAAGACAGAGGCGACGTGTTTGCACATGCACTCTCCCAGCTTGTAGCTGAGCCCTTCCCGAAGAGGGGGTGATGGGGACACACACACGTCCTCGGGGCTCACCTGCACCGCCGGCTGCTTGCCCTCATTGCTGCTGGGGGAGCTCAGCCCCGTGGCCTGCTGCAGCAGGAACTGGCGTGCCACCTGGAGAGCCTGCAAGAGAGACACAGCAGGGTGGGCAGGAGGAAGGGTGCCCTCTTCCTCCTCCCTCCTCCAGGCATGCTCCCCCTCCAGCTCCCCGGAGCAGTGCCCAGACACGGGGGCGGCCGGACTGGTTCTCCGTGGGTTTGATTCCTGGGGTGTGAGTGATGCATGAGGAGGGTAGCGCTCCCCGATGCTCCCTCCTGCCACACCAGTATGACCAGCACATCCCATTACAGACCACCGCTCCCCCTACCCCCTGGAGCCACGGAGGGCCACGGGGACCTGGGGGCAATCCCATCCTCTTCCAAAAACCTCCGCCCCATCTTCAGCCAGTCGCCTGGTCCAGCACCTTCATGCCTCTAGCAGGTTTCCACACAGGTCATCCCCAGCCTCCCCAAGCCCCGGCACAACCAGCACCCGACCGCAGGCCCGGCGGAGGGGCTGTCTCCCGGCTGATTTATTCCACCCTTGCACAGAGCCACCACTACATTTCTCCTGCAGCGGACATCCCCTGTGTCTAAAGCTACCGTGTATATTTAATTTTACATCTGAATGTCACGCTGAAGCAACAAAAAGTCCCAGTCACCACCCAGATTCGGGTCAGGCCAAGTGCAGGATTACACCCTGAATTAATAATCCATGAACGCGTCCGCACAGAGTTTATGGTGATGCAGGAGTTGTTCAGCAACTTGCACAAGTGACCAAGATGAAACCTGCTTATTTTTGTGGGTGTTTGCCTAGAAAGAGTTATGGGTTTCCTTAACTTGTTTGCAGGGATGAAGGTGTCTCGCTGGGAAGTCGCACAACAGGCAGAAGTGGGAGAAACCAACATGAATCGATAAAAAACACTTGTGGAAACGCATGCAGGCACAAGCAACCGTGAGCAAGCCACGCATAGCAGTGTCGGCAGCTGAAGAAAGTAGGTGAAATTAAGGAAAATCCTGCAAAGAGACAAGGAGGCGAGAGGAGCAAGCGCGAGCTGGCAGAAGAGCTGGCCGGCCACAGGCGAGCATGGCCGAGGACGAGCACCGGCATGCGTGCAAGCCGAAAAAAGGAGCTTCATTCAGGAGCTGAGAGCCAGGAGAGGGAATAAAGCCCTAATGAAAACAACCCTGCGGTAGCCAGCTGCTGCTCCCAGACCCGCTTCCTCATACACTCCTTATTTTTGCTTTTAAAGAATTTTTTTCTTTTTTTTTCGGTACATTTCTGAACAACCAAGTCATTGTAGCTCTGCCCGCAGGACAGGTTTGCATTAGGGCCCGGCGCGGGGTCAGAGCCCGGCTCGGCGGTGCCGCCAGCGGCACGCGGGTTCCCCCGGTTGTCATCACCCCGGCCGTAAATCACCGCCCCGGCTTCCAGGAGGCGGCCGCACGCCCCAAGAAAGGGCCGCTTGTTAATTCTCCGCATTTCCAGCTATAAAGAAGAAAGCCCCCAGCCCGCACACCGCCTCTCCATCCCTCCCTGCCAAATCCGCTTGCAAACCGGCGTGGCATCGCCCATAGTGTGGATGCACCTTAACACACCGCTCCCGTCCACTCATTGTTTATTTAACCTCTGCGAACCATGGAGCACCCACAGCACCCTTAAACAGTTGCTCAACGGAGCATCCATGAAGACTGACTACCTGCGTTTTAACCAAAAGGTCCCATTTCATGCTCCTCTCTGCAGGGTTGCTCGGGAAGAGCGCACGGGACAGACTGAGAGCAAAGGATGTCCGAGCTGCACCACCACTGTTTTTTCTGTGAATAAAAGCCTTCCGACCCGCTCCTTGCACGTGAACAGGCGTTAGAAGTGCATTTACAAAAGGAGAGGTAATTTTAAAGTTGCTGCTGAAGCCAGAGGCTGTGTGCAGAGGGTTTAGCAGCCACAGCCCTGCCTGTTTTATTTACGAAAATATAATTTCCTCACAAGGGAATCAAACCCAACAGCACCCAGAGCTGCCCCGTGCCCGCTGCCTCTCCCCGCGCATCCCCGGCCAGCTGCTGGGGATGCTCAAACACTGCATGACCACTAACTTGCAAACTCACTTTATCCAACCGATTAAAAAATGAAATCCTTGAGGACAAACAGGGCCATGTGCTGCTGGGAATCACTGATGGTACGAACCCGTGGTCCAAGTCCCAGAGCCGACGCAGCCCCGGCACAAGGCACACTTCTCTGCGGGCATGTTATTTCCCTGTTATTAACAGTAATAGATGTGCATCGGTAATGTGAACACAAAAACCATGTGACAGTTATGACAGCTCAAGGTCTGATATTTTAATTACTTTTTGAAATGAAAACAGTAATTCCAGTTAAAAGCCAAGGGTGGAGGAATTCAATCGACAGCTGCTCAGCCCCAGCGTACGGCGCAGCCGGCAGGTCCAAGGCACCCACCCACGGACGGGTGCCAGACCACTGGCTGCACCCCATGCGTGCACACCGGCTGCCCAAGCTTTACCTATTTTTCCATGTGTCCGTTTGACAGAGGTTTGCACGGATCGGGTTTCTCCACCTGTACCACGTGAAACTCCTCCGGTGTTTGTAAGGACCATCTCCCAGAGGTGAGCCGGTGAGGCGGGTCCCTGCCCCAGCCCGACAAAAATCAGTGCAGCAGGTATGGGAAATACAGCAAAGAGGGGAGAAATAGAAGGGACGTAATGCCAGCACCCAGGCAAAGCGCTAGGCAGGACTTCTCCCAGAATCTCTCTTTCTAAACCCAAACGCTGGCTGGCCCGCGGGTGCCACCGAGTCCCCAGCGCCCGGCTGGCTCAGCCCCACTGCTGGCCGCCCACCTCGCGCCGCCTCAGGGGGGAATTTAATTCACTCCCCGCTGGCGCTCTCACTTTGTTGTGCTCTGAAGCACGAAATTACAAGATTTACAGGAAAAAAAATGACATGGCCTTACAATTGCACACAGGGGCCTCTCCACCAGCGCCCCGGAGCTGCCCCCTCCCTCCCTCCCCACCGCCTGGCAGCGATTTCCACTTAAGCCCAAGTTCAGCTCAGCCTGCAAATGAAGGATGCTCTGCCTGGCAGCGCCCGGGTCTGCAAACCTGTTGCACGGCGGCACAAGGCAGGTGGAGCCCCGAGAAGTGAGTTTTGGGATGCAGAGCCCCGCGTTATCTGCATTTGTCACCCTCACCCCACAGGGCGGGAGGACCAGCCCCGGTGCTGGGGGTAAAGCCTTTCCGTAGGGATGTGCAGGGAAGGCGTCACCACCACCTCTCCTTAGGGCTGAGGAGGCGGGAGAGCAGAAGGAAGAAAGTCTCCCCCGTAGGAGTGGATGGGCTTTCACCTCCTGGCTCTGTGAACCAGAGAAAAAATGATTTTTTTAAAAAATTGTATCCTGCTGCACGGTGTTATTCAAGAGTCATTAGCACGTTACCCGTAATTAGGAATGAATGGGTTGTGTCAAATTCATCATGCTCCTGGATGGCTCCCTTTGATCAGCAAATTATCCCATAAAAAAGTTTGTAATGTCTCAGACACTTACGTCAAGAGCTGATGCTAAACGGTTGGCTTTGTCCTCTCCAAGAGCAGAGCAGCAACACGTTTCAGGGCTGAGGAAGAGGATGGTGACCCGGACTGCGCTAGGGGTGGCCCACGACTGCCTCAGGCTGCGCGGGGGCAAATAACACACCAGCGTTTTGCAGTGAGAGCTGCTGGAAGGTGTGTGCTGGGATGGGGAGGGGGGTCAATAAATAAACCACGTCTGGGATGAATCCCAGGCACGGCGAAGGCTCTGTCCAGACAGCACACACCCTGCCAGGACCGCTCCGAGCTGCTCCCGCGGCAGCAGAGGCTTCCCCACTGCGGAAGGGGGCTCCGGGGCACCTGGCCCGTGGGGATGCTCCCCTCTCCCTGGAGACACTGAATCCCTCCAGTTCGCTGGATAAACCCAGGCTGGATCCTCCACCTGACTTCAGGCAAAAGCATCTCACGCTCCAGCGGGGAAGCAGCCCCTCATCCTGGCTTCCACCCAGCGTACCTGGGGATTATCATTAATTCCTCCCCCAAAGGCTCGTGCTCCGGCCAGTGGGACTCCACACCTCCACCCGTACGTGATGGCGGCATCCCAGGATGGCAGGAGGGCCAGCTTTTGGCCACCTTCCCCGTGGCAAACACCACAAAACAGCACAAAACTCACTTTCTCCCATGGGGAACGCCAGGTCCCATCTGTCCCCAGCGACGGACGAGCCCGGGGAGAGGAGACGGCGGCTCCCGTCCCATTTGGGATGGCTGACTCACACTTCAGCCCCTACGCTAACCCGCAGCCCTGCCTGGCCGCCTTTTTCCCCACAAAACCTGCCTGAGCTGAGCCTCTCCAAGGCCTCCCGTTGCCTGGTCAAACTGGGAAGAAACAGGTCAAGAGGTTCAACAAAGTTTGGCGAGGATGGAGACGTCCATGGGTCTTTCTAAAAACACAAGCCTGGGCCTCCCAAAAATCAAACAGTGCAATGGAAAATCCTGACTAGGGTATTTTTAAACTGCCTTATTCTACCAGGTATTTCATTTTACGAGGGTGTACTTTTTAATTACGCCTAGCGGTGCCCGGACGCTCCAGCTGCCAGAGCCAAAAGCAGCGCGCCGGCTGCCTGCCGCACGGGGGGAGCGGGCTGACCCGGCCCGCGAGGGGAACCGCTGCCCAAAAATACCCCAGGGGTTTTCCACCTGGATGGGATCAAAGCTTTGCATGGGGTTGTAGCCTCCAATGAGAGAAAAACCACCCTAAAAATGATATTAAACCAAGAATTTTGCAAGGAAGGGGGCAGAAAGGGGATCTATAAAGGGAGTCTGTATCTTCCCTTTTCCCTCCGTTCCTTTCGGAGGGTAGAAAGAGGTTGGGAAGGGATGAAAAAATGTTAAAAAAAGAATATTTTTTACACTAACCTCATAAAAATGACATCGTCACATTCCAGAATTAGAGCTATTAAAACAACACACACACGGATATTTTTAGATGGATATTAACGGTAAATGATGCCATATTGAGAAGCACTTCCACCCAGCCCAGCCCCGGTCCTGCTTAACCAGAACCAAATGGCTCAAAGAGATCAAAATTAACAAAAACGACACAATTCTTCACAGGGGGGGAAAAAAAGTCCTTTTTACAACCGGCTGTGCCTCCCTCTCGGCCCCAGCTGTTCTCCCTTTCGCTGCACACTCTAATGCCTCTGGACTTTATTCCTCCACTCTTGACTCCTCAATCCTCGCAGGCGAGGGGTTAAACCCATTTCCACTAATGAAGAACACAAGGAACAAGCTCCCGACAATCCCACCCCATGGAAAAAAAAAAGAAAAAAGGGGAAAAAAACCCTCCTGCACTTGTACTCAGTAAAATATGAAATATAAATCAAGGAACCTAATAGAGAGATGAGTTTCACTTAAGTGCTCCGGTCTCATTTTTATCTTAAAACCCCTAATAATAGTGGATTACACAATATATTTGAGATGTGATCACATGCTTTATGGAACGGTATCTCTCCTACGGCAGAGAAGTGCCTCTCCTCCCCCCATCCACACCCTTCTTTAACTACCAAAAAAGTCCAATTTACTTTTTTTTTTTTTTAAAAGTCTTATTTTTGTTCAATAAGTTAACATTTCTTTGACATGTGTCCGCAATAAACTGCAACTTTTTTTTTTTTTTTTGCATAATAAAAAACCACCAAGCAACACTAGAGCAGCTGGATTTTCCAGATGGCTCGTTTTCCATGGGATTGCAAGTTGGAAAGAGCTACTGTATGGCTGCCAGGCTCGGGGACCTTCCCCGTGATTCCCCCCGGACATCCCTGCTCCAAGCACCTCTAAGCTCGCACCCCGCCACCCCCTGCACCCCAAAACCGCAACAACCCCCGAGACCCAGCCTCTCTGCACCCCACGGCTTTAAACCCCAGCTCCGAGCTGAGACTTGGAGACCCAGGATTTTTTGCAGGAATTCAAGGAAAGCCTGGAGAGACCCGAATCACCAGACAGCAGCCCCCCCTCGGCACGGCAGCCCCCTGCGATGCCCACCCTTGGGTCTGCCCTGCCTCCCCCGCCGCTCCCGTGGGGTGCAGCCGTGCACCCCAACACCCGAGTCGGAGCATCCCCACCCTCCTCTCATCGCAGGGCTGTGACACCCCATCACCCCGCTGCCCCCGTTTCCTGCCCAGCCTTCCTCCGCCGAGGATTACCGGGGGGCCGGCGTGGCGGGGGGGCGAGGGGCCGGCCCCCATGTTAAAAACTCATTAATGCGCCAAGGCGGCGGGGCCCTTTGGAGCCCGGTTAGAGGATGTCAGCGCGCTGGAGGTCTTGCCACGTTCCCACAGCAACGGCGGGGGGGGGGCCACCCACAGCAACGGCGGTGGGAGACCCCGGCCGGCGGGCAGCCCTCCCATGCCCCCGGCCGACCTCTCCCCTCCGCCAACCCCGGCACAATGCGGGCGTGCGCTATTCAAGCTTTTCAGCCGAATCCCACCATTGAAATCCAGGGATTTAACCCGAACGCTGTCCCCTGGGCTGGGGGGAGAGGGAGGGAGGAAGGGGAGGGGAAGGGGATGCTCCAGCCCCACCGAGGAGGGGGATGCCCTTTCCCCACCCCATCCCGCCAGGCTCCCGCTCTCCCTCCAGGCTCTCTGGACCACGGGATGCTCCGAAGTTGCGTGGATCTGGACAGACACAGCGATGAGGCACAGCCGAGGACGGCGACAGAAAGCTGCACTCCGCAGTGGAGCGGAGCCGGTGCTGCGGCTGGCAGCCCCTGGCCTGGCCACCCAACAGCCTCGGGGGTCCCCGAGCACCCTACGATACACACTCCTCCCCGCAAGCTCCCACCCGGGGCACTCACCTCCGGGCAGCATCCTCAGAGAGGAGTTTTAACCTGAGAAGTCCCCGCAGCCCAAACAAGCCCCCAGAGCTGTCTGGCTTCACCCTTTCGAAAGGGTGAAAGCAGAGAGACCGTGGGCACCGAAGAAGGTCAGAACCAGCTCGTTTTGCCAAAAGGTGCAACACCAGCCGAAAGCGAGGGCAGAGCACGCGCCCCCGGGGAGCTGCATCGCCAAGCAAACCCCTACGGGCAAGGAGTTTTAAGCCACTGGTGGCCCTTCAAGCCTAGGTGGGGTGGTTGAGTGATGGTTTCCCACCCCTCCAGGCTTCCTAACGTTTCTTGGGGATTTCATATAGTTAAATAAGAACAAGGATTGAGTGCCGACATTTCGGGAGCTGCGGCGGGGCCAGGACGGAGGAGCTGTCAGACGGGAACAGCCCAGTGGTCCGGGAGCCTGCCTGCGACAAGGGGCGAACGCTGGATGCTCCCGAGAATGGTGCAAAGCCTTCATGAAGCACCTAATTGCGCAAATCTCTCTATATGGGGACATTTATTCCTGACCCCAGCTGGTGCTCAGCCTGTTCCCTGAAGCATGAAGATTGATAGTCCTCGGGATGTTTTTTTTTTTTCTCCCCCCAAGGTGCTGTCATTGCAGATGTCATTTGGTTTTGGAAGTTTACCAAACCCTCTGCCTTAATAATTCCACGTGCCGGTGACTTTCCCAGGGTACTTACACCGGGAATCCGAAAGAAGAAATGCAAAAGGGTGAAATTAAACATCGGCCGTGCCTTGGGCAGGGCAGGATTTACCGGCTGAGCTCAGGGAGCAGCACCCACAGGGATGAGCCAGCAGCAGCACTCCGCATTGCAAAAGCCCCTTTCTTCCTTATTTTCCAGAGCAGAGAACCCCGTTTCACAGCCACGCCGCCCACCCTCCAAGCTGCACCGTTTCAGCCGTGCAGGAACAAGCATCTCCTATTCCCCCCAGCTCCGGCTGCCGCCCAGCGGAATTCGGGGCTGTCCCCGGCGCGGGGAGGGGGGCGAGCGGCGGCTCCTTCGGCAGGGGTGACTCGCAGCAGCATTACACGCATGATTACCCTTCAGATCGGGGAACAGGGGCTTAACTGCGTGAGAAACGGCTGTTATTCAGGTAATGGATTTACAGCACTCACTACTAAAGTATCAGACACAGCAATTTTTTACAGCTTTCACGCTGGAATTTATGGCTCAGGGAGGCGATCTCCATACGAGGCAGGGATCATTGCCTTATTTAGTATCCGAGGAGGAAAATTTATGTTTTCTTCAAAGTTTGTTTTGAAAGGTAACCTGCAGGCACGCACACGCGTCCCCCCCTCCCCACAGCAGCCCAGGCGTGCACGGTGCAAGGGGAGGTGTGTGCCACGCAGCTCCCGTGCACGGGCTCCCCGAGGTGCACACGTGTGTGCTCAAGGACAGAGCTGTTGCATGCACATGTCACAGCCACACGTGTTTTTGGCCACGCGTGCGAGGTTAATTCTTCAGCTGAAGGCACCAGGAGCCCCAGAGAATGGGGGACCACCTCTGGTCACCCACCTGGATACCCAAATGCAGACTCAGAGAAAACCTGCTCCTTATTTCACAGCCAACACGTCTTTGCTCTTACAGCCCTCCTTTTCCTGCACCACCTTCCCCGCACTGACGGGGGACAGAGCAGGCAGACCCCACCGGCGCAGGCAGGACCTCCCCCCAAAACGCAGCCGTCTCTGGGGCAGCAGGCACCAGCCCACGAGCCGCACGGACGGGCGGGCTCCACCTCCTGAGGGATGTGCACCCCAAAGCACAGGCACCTGCTTTCTGAGGCAGCACTTGCACCCCAGCTTCAACAGGGATGCCCAAGTCTGGTGCAACCCATCACCTGGGCCAGCTCTGGGGACAAGGGGAGGGTAAAACCAGGTGTTTGCCCCCAAACCCAAATCCTCGAAGGACCCAGTTCCACGTTGCCTTGCGTAAGGCAGGGAAGGGAAGGAAGCGGGGCGTCCCTCCTACCTGCTGCTGCTGGAAGTGCAGGAGCTCCACGGGGCTCATCTCGCCGTTGGCCTCCCCGCTCGCAGCTCCTTCGCGCCCTCCGCCGCCGCCTGCGCCGCCCCCGCTGCCATCGGGCTGGTTGCTGAGGCTGCTGACCCCGTTTTGGCTGGAGGGAGTGGACCGTATCGTCTCCGAGGCAGATTCAACCATCATGACTTGCTAGCAGGACCTGAGGAGGAGAGAGCAGAGGCTGAGAAGAGAGTCTGAAATCCCTGGTTGGCATCCCCACCTCCGCCTGCCCCATCTCTGATCCCCGCGAGGTCCGGCAGGGAGATGCAGGGATGGGATGTCAAACCCCGGCCAGTTTTAGCTGCGGTCAGTTTACTCCAGAAAATAAACGTGCAGCAGCGTGAGCCGCCATGAACGTGCTGCTGGCCCCACGCAGCGCTGGGGCAAAGCAAGCGCAACCTGTCCCTTAGGGAAACACCATGTTTTCAGCTTTCTCCCAGCCTGATGTAAGACATAAAACCCCAGGAATCTGGGCATTTTTCACAGAATCCCAAAATATTTCATTTTGAGATGCTGGAGACAGCAGAGTAGAAGTTTCAGCGACGCTGCAAACCAAGCACGTGGAGCCTGCACCACATAGTTCACCGTGAAAATCTCAAGAAAGTTGACACGTTTCCACAACGCGCTTCAGCTCCCAGCAAACCAGCACTGCCCAGCAGGAAAAACCACCTGGCAGAACATTTGCCATCAGGTGCAGGAAGCCCAAAGGTACCGCGGAGCTGGGACACGGCAAAACGAGAGCGCGGCAGCGCTCCAGAAAGCATCAGTCGGAAAATCCTGCCTTTCTCCCAGATGCCTCCGTGCACCCCCTCCTCCTGCCGTACCCCTCGGACGGCCGCGCAGGACCAAGCCAGGCGCTTTGCCCTTCAATGCGGGGTGCAGGGGCTACAACACTCACCGCATTTTCAGCCCTGCAGAAAACCCCACGTTTTGCAGCTCTTGCACTTCATTTCATGCAACTACAGGCTTCCCTCTGCAAGGCAACAGTGCAACGCTTCACCTCCACGGATGGGTTTTATCCCTGTAAACCCTCCCTGCCCATCGACACCTGGGGCACGAGGGCAGAACTGCCCCAAGGTCGCGGCTGCAGGGCTCGCGGTGGCGATGGTGCCCGTGCACGCTGCAGCCATCCCGGGAGCAGAGCGGTGGGACACTGGCTGCCTCGGGGCGGCCGGCCGGAGCTCCGTTCGGCCAGTGCAAACTCCTGAGCCACCATGCCGAACTGGGGAAAACCATTGGGCACTGGGAGAGCCGCAGGCTGGAAAAGCACTGGCATCCCAATGCACGGCCAGCCGCAGCAGAGCTGGGTGTTACGTGCACCCCTTACCCCCGCCCCGGGCTTAAATGCTATTTACATTACGGCAGATGGGTTAGGGGAGGGACTCCCAAGGAGTTACAGGGCTTGGCTTCAAAGCGACAAGACGAAGACACTTTGCTCAGTTGGGTTTGATTAGCGGGCAGGTTGTTAGCTGGGAACCCGAGGGTCCCCTTTCTGGGGGAAACTCCTGGAATCTGGGCTGGCACCGGAGGGAAAGCCACCACCGCATCCAGCATCGAACCCTGCCGCTCCAGCCAGCAGCCGCTGAGCCACTGGGGCCACATCCAGCCCCGACACAGGCACGGAGAGGGCTGGGGCGCAGGGAGCCCCGCCGGAGCCGAGCGGCTCCCTCCTTCCCCACGCACACTTCGCTCTGCGGAAAAGCGGAGGACACGGGGTTTTATCTCATCCGCGCCGGCTCCTTCCCCACCGGCGGGTGCCGGAGCGAGATCGGCGTTCACCCACCACCACTTGCAGCCGGCCAGCGAGTTTGAAACAGGAGGGGAATAAAGAAAGAGGATGGGGAGAAGAAATACTGTTTCTCCCTTTTTCTTCTCTTTTTTCCCCCCCGTCTTCACCCCCCGCCCCAAAAGACAGAAAGACAAACCGCGAACAACATAATTGCTGAAATGTGGCGTGTAATAATAGCTATTCAGAAGCTGATCATTCATATTAAACAGGGTGAACCAAGCTTCTCATTTGCATGTTTGAGATTATATGCATTTCAAAAGTCATTTCCGCAGGGTATATGACTGACATTAATTCCCATGTGGAGCTGCCGGCTCCCTCCCGCCGTCCTGGCACTACCAAACCCGCGCAGGGTGGCACACCGCTGGCTGCGGAGAGCTGGAGGGTAACGGGGTTACTGGGCTCTGGTTTTGTTGGAAGCAGAGGAGCCAGGGTGAGAGCACGGCGCGGTTGGAGCAGCTTCCCGAGAAGGGATCGGGAAAGGATGGGATGCTCGCCAACGGATGCTGTGTTAGGAGCAAAAAAGCTGTAAGAAAGAAAACACCTACATTTGCTCCTTCCCCCCACAGATGTCAGACAAGAGCCTGCAGAAATATTAAATTATTGCTGTGACTCTTCTCATTTTCCTTCCAAAACCCCGCCGCCTGCCCCGCGTTTCGACCAGGCGAGCGGCCCCGTGGGGAAAGCCGGGCTCTGCCCGTGTCCAGCAGTCACAAGGCATCACCATGGCCAGAAACTCGGCAGGATTCAAAAAGAGATCTGACTTTTATATGGAGAGCAAGAATATCCAGAGTTACGACAGGAAGTATTAAAAAAGGGAAAAAAAAAAGTTTTTGGGAAGGATATAAAACTTTCCTGGCTTCAGGGCACAAATTGAAGGTTAACTATTGGGAATTAGGAGGAGCTGTGACCGTGGGCTCGCTCCGCCGGCCCCGGCCCCTGCCAGAGGCAGGATGCTGGAGCAGATGAGCGGCGCTGGGGTCCAGCCGGGTGATCCCCGCAGCCGGGACACAGGGCCAGTCGGGTTCCCTCTCCAAGTCTAGTAAAACTCGACTTCCCGTTCGCAAACCCTACTGGGATGACGGTGTGCTGCTTGGGTTCCCAACACTGCAAGGGAAGTAATAAAAGAATGTAATAATAATAATAATGAAAATATTTCCATTCATATAAAAGTTTTACAAAAACTTAAAGAAAAAAAAATGAAGCCAGTGTCTGCAACGTTATAAAGTCGATTTAAATTAGGAATGAGTGCCTTTCCAGCCAGGGCTGATCCGGGACGGCTGAAGCCGCGTTGGGGAGAGTGAAACCCAGCTGCTCGAGCGGCTGCGAGTGCTGAAGCACACGTGCGTCCCTGCACACAGACGGGAGGGCTCTGCAGCATCCCAGCTCCGGCTTTTCATCTATTTTAGTTCAAACACATCCAGTATTTTGGGGATTCTCCACACACTAGTATCCAGAGGGTCTAATCAGGATCAGACCTTCCCCCCAGGCGTAAAGGCAGGGACCCTGTCCTGTCCAGAGAGCCATCAGGACACCCAGATCAAGCAGGAAAGGACTTACTCAAAAGGGGAGGGGAGGAGACCCCTCTAACGGCAATGAGCAACGATCACTAATTACCATTTCAGACTCAAAATCCCTTCACTGAATAAGTACTCTGCCTTTTTTTTTCCCCATTTTACTTAAATGCACACCTTTTGCAGGACAAAGAAAAGGAAATAGAATTACAAATGCAGTAAAGAATCCCCCTGCCTTTAGCAGGACCATATGGCAATGAGAGTATATTAATTACTGTTGCGTTTTAATTAACAATTGCTTCATCTGAGCAGTGACATTTCCTTGACATCCCCTGACTTGCCGCTAACCTGTAAAGTGCACACGCCATGCCAAGTCATCAATTCATTTTTATTGACACCCCCCCAAACAGGCACAATACCAGGGTTTTCCAATTAACACCTCCACACTCTCTAATTAGCACAATTAACAGACTGATGGATGCCCAGAGCCTCCCTGCGAGGGAGGGTGCGGATCAGCTGGCCCGGCTGTCGGACAGGGCTCCCGCGCCGCGCACGCGTGCCCAACATGCGTGTGCCACGCTCCCCAGGGTCTCGCGGGAGCGCCACGTGTGTGCCGTGCCATGGAGGCCGGCATCGCCATGCAACCCGGCATCGCCACGGAGCCCGGCATCGCCACGGAGCCCTTCCGAGCCTCAGCAGAAAGGGGTGGACAAACGCGGAGGCAAGCGAGCCGGCGGACCCGAAGCAAAGATTTGCACCAAAAGACGTGGGGTCTTTAGGAGCAGGACAGGACACAAAGCATTCACAGAGCCATTTCTCCCCCAAAAGTTCCCAACGAATTTTGGGGCATCCAGACCCACCCAAAGCGATGCCACTTCTCCACCCAATTCAGCTCCACGGACGTGAAAATTAAATAGCACTGCTCAGCCCCCGGGACCCGCAGAAACAGGTCCAGCCAAGACCACGAGCTCCTCAGAAGCAATTGCCTGAACGCCTATTTTAGCCGCTTCTCCTATTTTTAAATATCCTCAATACCGCGGTCCTCAGGGGCTCCATAACTTTGGGCTGCCCTTCGCGGGCTGCCGGCAGGACCGGGGCCACATGCAGACCCAGCGTTGCAGGTGCCTCCTCCCCGCTACCAGCGGGTCCCTGTCCTCGAGTCCCCGTCCCCATCCTCACGCCGACGGCAGCGGGCGCCCCTTGGCCTCCGTTTCCCCAGATGCAAACCCAAAGAGCACCCCCAGCTCAAAACCAGCACCCGGGGGGATGAGGATGAACACTGGGAACACTGGTAGGGAAATGCTCCCCGCCACGTCTCTGCAAGCCGAGCAAATCCCCGGCGCCAAACCGCGTTTTGCAAGGGACAGCACAGGTGACACCACACATTTATGAGCAAACCATTACTGCAATGCTCCGGAGGCTTTTTCCGCCCTTCCCACTGCATCCCAGACCCAAAGCAGTTTTCCAGATCCTTCCTCCCAGCTCCAGCCTCGCCAAGACCCGGAGGGGAGCAGGGGGCTGCCCCGCGGCACGGCGAGGGCTCTCCCTCCAGCAGCAGGAGCCAGGCGTGCCAGCAGCCACTTCTGTGGGTACCGGCAGAAGATGCAGGAGCACAGACTGAGCAAACCCCCCAAAGCCGTCGGAAGTCCTGCGGGATGCTTCTCTGCACAGCTGGGAGGAGACGAGGGCTCAGGGAGGCTCAATCCCAGGCACTGGATCTGCTCCGAGCTATGGAAAGTTGAGCAACCTGCCTGTCCGGATCCGGCGAGGCTTTAGGAAGTGGCTCGCTAATCTTAAAAGGCTTTGGCTTGAAGAGAAGCAGCAGCCGGGATTGCTCGAGAGTGGCTTTT